TGAAGCTCCTTTTGGGTGGTGAAGATATGGACTGTTTCTGTCTCTGCAGAAAGTTCTATAGCTAACAGTAATTTATCCTTTTTAACACCAGCTTTCATAGAGAAACACTGTAGTCTCTTGCAAACTTACCAGTTAAAAACAAAGCAACAATTTCTGTTGAAAGTGTACTCCTCCCTTGTCGTTTCTGCCACAACTATGTCATTCCTTTGTTCTTCCCAGTATTTGCCCGAATGTTGGCATGCGTCTGACCCCTAACAGCTCCTTATAACCAGATTTCTGTGATCTGATTATGATGAGCTGCTGTGGTTTTCTTTGTATTTCTTCTTAGGATACATTGAAAGTTTCAGGTCTGTGATATTACCATACCAATTTTATCAAATTTAGAAAAGTTTTGGTCATCACATTTTTTAACAAGTTTCTGTTAGCTCCTCCAGGACTCTAGAGATATTTATGTTAAACAGCTTGATACTATTCTCTCAGCTGTCTGAAACTGTTTGGTACATTTTTCAGTGTTTTATCTACATATTCCATTTTGAATACTCTGCATTTCTACACCTTTAAATTTACATATATGTTCTTCAGAGACTTGTCTTCTGGAATACATATTATAAATATTATATATTATAAATAAATTCACTGGATATAAATTCACTGGAATTCACCGGAATAAATTCACTGGAGATATATATATATATATATCTCCAGTGAATTTATTTCAAATCTTAAAATTACAGTTTTCAGCTGGGCGTGGTAGCACACGCCTTTAATCCCAGCACTAGGGAGGTAAGGCAGGTGTATCTCTGTGAGTTCAAGGTCAGAGTGATCTACATAGTGGGTTCCAGTACAGCTGGAGCTACAGGGAGACCCTGCTTCAAAAAGACAAAAAACTTTACAGTTTTCATCTTTAAAAGTACCATTTGATGCATCTTTATTTTTTTTCTCTGTTGGTAAGGGATTATATATTTTTCCAATTCTTAAAAAGTCTATGAGTTTCTGATGGAATGCTGAAGATTGTATGTTTCTTGTGGTTGGTGGTTTGAACTCTATTTTGTACAGAATAATTATGCCTTTTTTTCTGAGATGCATTTGGATTGCATCAGAACTTTATTATCTTGTTTTTGTTATATTTTTGTTTTTTTATTTTTCATTTTACAAGGATGAGCCCTAAATTATAGGAAAAATTTTCCCCCATTACTAAGGAACAACTCTTCTAAGGCTAAACTTTCTTTTCAATATTTTTATTTATTTGAGAAGTTCATGCAATGTGTTTTGATCATATTAAGATTTCTTCTCCACTTTCTACCCACCTTCCTCTATTATCATTTGCCTTTTAAAAGGCCTATAGAGTTTAATCTGTGGTTGCTAAATACTCATGAGTATGGATATATTCCTTGAAGTCTAGTAAACCTACCATGTGTCACACCAGTAAGAAAACTGACTCCCTCCCAGCATCTATCAATTGCCAAGAGCACCTCAGTTAGGACTGGGACTTCCTGTCTACCTCTCCCATCCATGCTGCACTCCTGTCTGGCTTAGGTTTGCATAGATCTTGTGCATGCTTTCAGAAGTGCTCTAGGTTCACATGTGCAACTGCCATGTGGTGTCCAGACAACATAGTTTCCTTGTTTTCATCTACCACCTCTGGCCCTTACAATCTTATTGCCTCCTCTTTTGCAATGATCCCTGAGTCTTAGGAGAAGGGGGGATGCAGAAGTCTCATTTAAGAGTCATATGGAAACCTAATATAGGTGTTTCCTTCAATGTACACATACGATCTAAAAATATTTTTAAATTGAACCTATAACAAGGGTTCAGTGTCCCTAAAAGATAGCACAAGCTAGCAAATGAAAGGTTCAATACTATAAATGGACTCCCTTTTTGGTGTTATTGACTATAGATTCCATAAACCCTTAAACAATACTGGCTACTACCATTTCCTTGTTTACCCACCACAACTTTATGGTAGACTCTATTGCTGGTCAGTAGGTACCTGAGTCACATAACAAATAAGAAGAAATCAAGCTAATAGTGATCTCAAAGTTTCAACTCTGTTGGCTAGCTCTCGTAGTGCTACAAGAGGGTATGCATGTTTACTGGCAGAGAAACGTAATCATCTACCTTACCCAGCTGTGAACACTGTGAACTTGAATAACAAATGGCTTGGCAAAATATGCCCACTGATGCAATAGTGGTATACAAACTTGTCATCACACTTAGAATAAGAGACTGTGGAGTCCTCAGCCTTAAATGGGACATCCAAATCTACCCTTAATGATCCAGGAGTCAGTATGGGTCCTCCACTGCTGGTAGTAGCATGCTGAATGACTCTTTTATGGTTTTTGAAACATATTTTTAACCATGCCCCTAGAATTTTACCCTTTTAATGCATGTCTTAGTTATTAGCATAGTACTCCTTTCAGCAGACTACAGCTCTTTCTCAGCCTAGCTCTTTTATTTTAAGCAAACTGTCTCATCACTTCCATCCTCAGACACTTTGGAGTCCTGCAGTAAGCCCACCATCTCTGCTTGCGGTATGCCCATCATCCACTCTCCATGGCTCTGTGACCCGATGTATGCTTCCAGAAACTTGTGACTAACCCAGGCCCTGCATTTCGTTTCAGATGTCACAGCTCTGCACTGTTGAAGCTTTTATCTAGTTGCTCTTCTGTTTCCATTTTACCAGTATATCCCTATCTAGGAAATAAATTTCAAAAATAAAAATTTTCTAAATATAAATGTTTCATCTATATTAAATGGATTTCTAGATATTTGTATCAGTAGACCTATTTAATCCCTATATGTCATCGTGGCTCAGCAATAGTCTAGTAACATTTCTGTGGCAATCAAGTCAAGGCATAATTTTAGAGAATATTACTCTCATCATAAATGCTGATACTGTGGTCTTTCTGAGAGAGATAGAGACTTACAGATTTCAGAATACCTAGAGGTCACCAATTATGATTACAACTTGATGTGCTTTAATTCATCATGAGATTCATATATACAGTAAAAGATAGTGTGGAATGTAGCACAGTGACATTTATAATGAGACCTCAGAGTGCCAGAGTGCGAATGTTGCCTCGTGTGGTCTTGACTGAGATCACCATGTCTACGAACTTTCAGTCTGACTTCATCTATATGATCTCATCTAACATTTCTTGTGTTTGCACCTTAACCAGTGGGATCCTGTCTAGGAAATAAATGTAAACAATGTGAATTGTTTACATTTGAAGATATCAGAGATATGATATTTCAGAAAATAGTTGTCATGCAACAAGAGAAAATAATATGATTTCTGTGGATTGTATAATTGATACTGTATGAGTAAGAAAGTGAATCTACTTTAGAGTACACAAAGAAACTAACATATTTATAAATATCTTGTCTTTTATTTTCAGGCATTTATCTTGATATGTGCAACAACCAAAATTGCAAGATTTTTTAAAAAGTATCAGCTTTCATTTCTGCAATCCCAGCTTGAAAAAATCATGAAAAAGCTATTTAAATATTGTTCAGCTGGAGTAATATAGAGTAGTCTTAAAATCATTCTTTCTAATAATGTCTTGTTTTTATTTTTATGTGAATGACTTACTGATTTGTTTATTAAATTGACTATAAGGACATATGTATAATGGCAAGGGTCTAATTTGTAGTAAAGGAATGATAACTACAGAGTTAAGCACAAATAGCTTTATTTGGAACACTTTTATGTTACTAGGTTACTCTTGGTTTCAAGAGTACTGCACTTAAATGCATACTGAGTGAATTTTCAAGCATATCCAATTTGCATGCCTTTGAGACTCCTACCAGGTTAATGATTAATTTTAAAATGTCATTTAAGATGATTCTCAAACATCAATTACACTTGTTATTTTGTAGCTGTAATATTTTAAATTGAAATCTTTAAATAAATATGTAATTGTCACTGAAAAAGTATATCAATTATCTAGTCTTTGTCAATGACTATCTACTTCAGAGTGAAAACTTCTGGAAATTTCAGTTCAACCATAGTGGTTTCCTTAAATAGATGAGGAGATCTGGTAAAATATAAATGCTTAATAAATATGGCTAGATGAATTTCACAGTAAAGCTTAAATGCTGAGGAATTTAAAAACAAAAGTTTTATTGAATTTATTTAAGAATTAAATAATTAAGATTTATCTAATTAT